TATGTATATCTGACAACCTAGAGATATTAGTCTCAATTCCCCTGCAAGGTCAAATAGATCCTGATTCAACTATATTGTGTAAAAAAAAAACTATTAGTGCGCCTATGTGAGAAATAAGTATATGAAACAAACTGAAGTAGAAAAAACTTCACAATTAATATGAGGTTAACTATGTAATGTTGATATGAGGAACAGCTAGTGAGTACTATATAGTTTATAACTATATTATATATATATATATATATAAGATGCCTGTAAACTCACTGGAGACTAGAATATTATTGGGAACTCATAGAGATATCATGGGGGATAATCAAAAATAAATCAATAAAAATAAACAAACACCACAGAGTACAACAAGGCATCTATAATCTCAGCACAATAAGCACCATGCAGACACAGAGGATACACCTCTAACCCACAACAACACCATGCAGGCCTGTAATCTTCTGCATGTTCACTGTGTGTGTGTGTGTGTGTGTGTATGTGTGTGTGTGTGCGTGCGTGTGCCATGTTGGCTTGTGTCTGCCCCTGCCCCCCACCAGCCTAATAAGACATTGCTTCCTAGTGCAAACAGCTGCATTGGGGTTGAAATTTATGTAAATATTTTGAAAGGGACACTGGCTCAGAAATTCATTTGCGCCGGCTCAGACGTAAAGCTCACCCCTCTGATTATTTTCAATTTATTTGCAAATCAAGACCCAAAGAGAACACTGAAGGGCTTGTGGATTTTAACAAGGGTGTGAGCAGCTCTACATATATAGCTGGACTGGACGTGTGTGTATGTTTTGGTTTTGTTTTGTTTTGTCTTAAGATTTTTTTTTCTTTGATGTTATTACATGCCTCACAGCAGCCTCGACATTTTCTTCCTTGGGTCGACTTGATATTGTGGTCAACACTGCTAATATTGCAAAAGGGAGCAGATGTCCCAGATCCTGCACGGCTTCCCTGGGGACCACCAACCCTATTAGAACAAATGTGTTCGGCTATTGTAAATAGGCACGTTTGCCTCAGCCCGTCCTATTACAGCCGACGCATGATCAATAGGCTGATAACACAGAAATCTGACTTTCCCTCGACTTTTTTTTTCTTTCTTCGTGTTAACAACACACAGAAACCCGAGGTGCGAATTTTGAAGTGTTATTAACTACATTTTGATTAGAGGGATTTTTTTTTTTCGCGAAATACTCCGAGATAATTAAAATTATTTTAAGGATCGTCCAGAAATCAATGCAGATGGTAATTTCAGGCTTATCCCAGGTATGCACAGGAAAGATAAGAATGATTAAATCCACCGGCGCATTAATGAGTATGAGATGTAAAATAATCCTAAAAGGCATGGCAGAGTTGCTGCAGGAGAAGCCAAATGTCAAGTGCCATTTTATTTTATAGAAGACCCCCCCCCCCCTTTTTTTTCTTTTTAAAGGGACACGGTTCTTTCTTATCCAAACTGAGCCTTCAGAGCCTCTAAGATCTCATAGAGCAACACAAAGCGCACAAGAGCAGCCTGTACAGACAGACGGATTTGTGGCAAGAACACAGGTTGTCCATCTAAGTTGATTTCAGCATGAAACTTGTAAAACCCTTCCCTGTCACAGCTATTTGAAAATTCATTCCAGCAATTGTGAAATTTACTAATTATTAACACATTTTTTTGTGTGTTGTGTCATGTCTTCCATGAAGTAAAGGTTCGAGCAGTTTTTTTTTGTTTTTGTTTTTAATATATAATAATCTATAATCGATGTATGCGAGAAACAGTAAATAGCACAGATCTACATTTAATTCAGTCACCGGGCGCAGTAAAAGGGATCAATTTGTGTCTAATCTGACTCAGTTTACTTGGATATAATATGGAAAATAAACCGATATGATGCCTGTGATGGAAGCTGCTGTAAAAACATTTGGTTAGTCATTTAGCTTGGAAATGAGAGGCTTATTTCTGAAGACGCTGATTTAGGCTGCAGCTCGCATGCTGCAAATGAGACTCTCAATATTATGGCCATAATTAATTGCGCAAATTTGTTTCTATTAAATAAAACTAACACATACTGAGAAAACTCTATTAGCCTTAATTAAGCTTGATATCCTAATTTAGGAAATGTGTCGTTGAAAACAAGGCGTTTTGGTAGATTTTTTTCTCTGTCTTCCTCCGATAGTGAAAAAGCCCTACCAGCTTTCTGCCTTTGGGCTGCTTTTCCTCCTCTGAGAGTTGGAAATGAGAAATGGAAATGGAAATACCAGGAGGTGCTAAATTAGCTGGCTGATCTGCACTTATTGCCGCATACAGGCCCCTATTACTTTGCCAATCTGTGTCTCTCTTTTAGCATTCCGGGCATGGAGAAGCTTCGAGATAGCAGATTTATCAAATGGGAAAATGAATGCATGATGATCAGTTAAATTGAAAATCAGCGTCTGCATGACAGCCCGACCTGACACCTCCGTAATTAGAAAGAAAAATGATGGCGTCCGATGCATAATAGAGCAAAAACAATTTACACTCTCCCATAATGATCCGGCGTTCAAATTGAAAATTTCTCCGGGTATAAATTGAATTCATAAAGTATGATTCATGGACGACACATCTCCTGGAGGCTGCCTGGGCATATCGATTGATAGTTTGTCTTGAATCATGCAGCGTGCAGCTCTCAGGCAAGAAAAGCTTAACTACTTAAGCAAATCGCTAATTTCACCTTAAGGCCACCAATGTGCAGCCAGCGATACTCCTATTCAGTGTGCTAATGAATTATGGATGAACTGGGCATACGTCCCAAATAGCCTAAGAGTAGCATGGAAAAATACACACCGAAGAATCTTAAGGGTTATTTCAAATTGGCCCCGGTTATCCCACAATTTAGTAAATAAACCTTGTATCTCTGGATTTCTAAAGAACTGACAACCTAGAAGAATTTAGCAATTTCCCTCTTGCATAGTGTCAAAAGTATTCCTGATTCAACAATGGAAAAAAAAACATTAGTGCTATTGTGATGAAATAAGTATAAAAACAAACTGGAAGTCCCCTCAAAACTTCACAATTAATATGAGGTTAATATGTATATATATCTAATACCCATATAAAGCCCATATGACTGGCCGCCTATACTAATCACGTAATTTTATATATATATATAATAAATGCCTGTAAACTCACTGGAGACTAGAATATTATTGGGAACTCATAGAGATATTCATGGGATAATCAAAAATAAATCAATAAAAATAAACAAAACACCACAGAGTACAACAACTTTGGCATCTTTTATTCCCAGCACAATAAGCACCAATGCAGACACAGAGGATACACCTCTAACCACAACAACCACCATGCAGGCCTGTAATCTTCTGCATGTTCAACTGGTTCGCATACTGTGGTGTGATTGTGTGTCGGACTGTAATTTTGTGTGTGTGTGTGTGTGCGTGCGTGTGCCATGTTGGCTTGTGTCTGCCCCTGCCCCCCACCAGCCTAATAAGACATTGCTTCCTAGTGCAAACAGCTGCATTGGGGTTGAAATTTATGTAAATATTTTGAAAGGGACACTGGCTCAGAAATTCATTTGCGCCGGCTCAGACGTAAAGCTCACCCCTCTGATTATTTTCAATTTATTTGCAAATCAAGACCCAAAGAGAACACTGAAGGGCTTGTGGATTTTAACAAGGGTGTGAGCAGCTCTACATATATAGCTGGACTGGACGTGTGTGTATGTTTTGGTTTTGTTTTGTTTTGTCTTAAGATTTTTTTTTCTTTGATGTTATTACATGCCTCACAGCAGCCTCGACATTTTCTTCCTTGGGTCGACTTGATATTGTGGTCAACACTGCTAATATTGCAAAAGGGAGCAGATGTCCCAGATCCTGCACGGCTTCCCTGGGGACCACCAACCCTATTAGAACAAATGTCTTCGGCTATTGTAAATAGGCACGTTTGCCTCAGCCCGTCCTATTACAGCCGACGCATGATCAATAGGCTGATAACACAGAAACATCAATGTAAAGCGACAGAACAATGAGGGATATCATCGAACATCTATCTTAATATAGCCCTGCTACAAGGGACCCTGACAAAGTGGAGAGAGAGGGAGAAGAAGAGGAAGAAGAAGAAGGGGGGGTAAGAAAAAAAAAAAAAAAAAAAAAAAAAAAAAAAAGCTCATGAAAATGCCTCCCCACGAATCTCCATCCCCTATCCAATATGCACAAACACACACACTCCCAGCTGCCGGGGCTATTATTTTCCTATTTCAATTTGACACCCAGGCCTTTTCATGCTAATTCTATTATTCTTGGAAGTTTATGTGATTTCATATCACTAGAAATCGGTAATGTATTATAACCCCCTTTGAGCTAAAATAAACTGAATCCCCCTGCAGTAGCCACCGGGAAAATAATTACTTTCATATCAAAACTCTGCAGGAGTTGAGCGGGTCCTTTTCGCCTCGGGCTCGTAACCTCATTTCAGTGGGGGCTTATAGATGAATAAATTTGTTAAGGCAATATACAAAGTACAACATGAGATTTCTTAAGAAAGCCCTTCCTACTGTACTAGTGCACTGTATGTGCTGCTATTTAAGGTCTCACACGGTTTGAGGTGCTTGTATACAATAGATTTATTTAAGAAAAACCTTACATATATAAATAGTATAATACCTTTTTACAGCTCTTGAGGATTTTTGTTGGTCTCGTGGTCTTGTGTGTGTGTGTGTGTGTGTGTGTGTGTTTTGTTTGTTTTTTTGACAAGTTATCACACATTAAAGGATATCTAGAGACTCCTGACTCACACACACATACACACTCGCAGAGAGAGAGAGAGAGAGACAGAAGAGGGAGAGTGAGAGAGAAAGAGAGAGAGAGAGAGATAGAGCACACCATTGTCAAAAAATATCAGCAAAGGGGAAAAACCTAGAGATTAGATGCAAAGATGTAGTTTCTGGTTAAGCTTTGGCCTAATGAAAGGTGTCGTTTAGAGGCTATATCAGTATGTTTCTGCATTTTTTTTTACCCCCAGGGATTTATTCCATGTCGACATCTTCTTTAGAGTCTGTCTTTGTTTCTGCTGGACTGTCACTGAGGACAGACTCGGGGTGGTCGGGGTGGTCCTTGCTCTCTAAATGCTCTTTTCTGTCTGCATCGACAGACTTAATGAGTTGTGGACTGTGTTCGTGGGCGAAAGTCGAATCGCTGCAAATAACAGAGGTCTGAGTACTTTTGCCAGTGGAAAAGGCGGCCCTGGACGGGCTGGTGTGCGGTGAACTGGTCTTGTCCTCTGATCCCACCTGTCCTTTTTGTGTGGCGTCTGCAGAGTCCGGCGAGCTGCTCCTACATCCCGCAGAGCTCGCAGAGACGCTGCAGCGGCCACTGAGCTGGTTTCTCTCCGCCGGTGTGTCACTGTAAGAGTTTGATGCTGCTGCTGCTGCTGCTGCTGCTGTTGTCTTCAGAGCAGTTTGAGGAACAATGAATCCAAGCGGCTGTGTGATGGGATAGAGCAGGAAGTGTCCTTTCCCTATCAAAGGCCGTGAGGACGGTAAGGCCGCGGGGTTGCGTCTCGGTCTGGAGTCCGAAAGGAGGCTTTCGACGCTGAAAGGGTTGAGTTTCTGCAGGCTGGAGGCTCTGTTATTGTTGGAGCACAGGCTTGACCGGTGGCTGGCGTCGGGCGAGTCCAGCTCGGATCCGCCAGCATCCAGGTCCAAGTGTCTTTGGTTCTGGTTTTGGGTTTGGAGAGGGTGAGGTGTTTGGTCGCAGCTCGACGGCGTTTGGCTTCCCCCGACAGAGTCAAAAGGCGGGCCTGTGGTGTGGTCACTGTCGGTGACATGCGACACTCCGCTGTCGCTGTCTGATCCCGGGGTGTGAAATAAATCCCCAGACATGAGCTTGTTCTGGGACTTGAGCAGCCGCCGCTCCTGCTTCCGCTTCTTCTTCTCCAGCCTGTCCAGCTCTCTCCGGGCGATCTCCTCCGGGTCCATGGGCTCTCCGCTGCAGGTGGTGGGGTGGGCGTTGTGAGCAGGTCGACCTGGACCTTTCTTTGTGTTCTCCTTTTTCCTCCACTTGGCTCTGCGATTCTGAAACCATACCTGCACAGGGAGACAAAACACCTGAAAACACGTGTAATGTGCACCTCTGTCACTACAAGGGGAAAATTAATTAGAGCAGAATTTGTCTCTGTCTTAACTCTATGGTAATTAAATAAACAGTGGGGTTACATCTTGCTCTTGCTGTTTTGTATGCAGGCCTTTAATTAGGCCTTTCATTAAAAACCAATCTGTGCATCATGGCTAGAAAAAGTTGGGATGAAGAACAAAAGAAGCTTCGGTTTGACACGACAACTGAACTATTGGCCAGTTTCACAAGTTTTAATAATAATCTATTTCCAATGTAACAACTAAAACTTTGTGAGCTACCACTTCACCGTTTTCATCGACAGAAATGTCCTTATAGAAAAATAAAATTATAATAATCGATGAAATTGAACTATTATAAAGAAGGCTGCACTGAATATTTCTGGTCTTTGTTTATCCAGTATTGTCAATAAATGTGAGGAATATGAAGTCAATGTTTCTGACAAAATAATTTCAATAAAAAAAAATGTAAAATTCAAAATATCAACCAGTATTAAAGACTTTATTATTTTTCAAAATAAAGGAGCAATTAAAATTGATTTATTTGACTAACATAAACCATGAAAGGTCAGACAATACACACATGCAACGATCCTTTGGGTTATTTTAAAATTATTATCAAGTGTACATTATGACCCAAAATTCACTTTTGCTATATGAGGATTTTTTACAAAAATGAAAGCACTGAGTCGGCGCCATGAATAAAAGGAATAGAGATACACACACATAAGCTCAAAATCACCACTAAAAATATATGTAAAGGAACAAAATAAATATTTACCTGAACCCTTGATTCTATCAAGTCCAATCGGAGAGCCAGTGCCTCCCTCATGAACACGTCGGGATAGTGGCTCTCATTAAAAGCCTTTTCTAATTCCTCCAGCTGCCAACCAGTGAAATTTGTGCGAGTTCTTCGTCTCTTGCAACCAGGGCTATCTTTGTCTGGGTCCACCGAGTCTGACAGCAGGGTGAGAATAAATGTAAACAAAGGATAAATTATTTATTTATTTTATTAAAAACAAATACCACATTTTAACAGCATTTTAACAGGACGGGTTTCATGTGTTAGCAGACAATTTTGCAAACTTTAGAGCTATAGAAGGAGAATGCATTTGGAAATGTTGCAGTCTATTTGCACACATGCAGCCTGCAGCCTCTATCAAAGCTTTTCTGAATGAAGCGGGGATGCCTCAGATGTTAACACAAGCATTTCCTTGCTCTGGTGTTTTACTGACTGACAGGGACATTGTTTTTGCTTGGTTGCATCCTCAGCTTTCGGTGATCGAGATGAAATGCTCTCCCTGCTTCGCCTCTGTGTTTGTGAGGTTTGGCATGCCCTTTAAAAAACACCACCAAGAGGATAACTTGTACCGCAATATCCTGTCTTTGTTTCTGTCTGTTGTTTTTTTTTTTTTTTGTCTCTGTGCAACCAGCCAACCTTGATGAGAGGTTATTGTGCAGCATATAATGTGGCTTACCTGTCAGTTTGTACTGCTGATTATCTCCATTCATCCCGCAGCCCGAAGACAAGAGGGGGTTGGAATTACCCACTGAAGCCGTGCAGGAACCATTGAGTAATCCGTCTATTGAGAAAGGAACCGCGGACGCAGATTGAAGTTGATGCCCGGCTAATTCGTAAACGTGATGGTGGCTCAGATGGTACGGGAAGCCCACCATCCCGCCGAGAGAGCCTCCGAACTGGGCGTGAGGTGGATCCAGTATCCTGCTGTCCATCATCCCGCAGGCAGAAGGAAACGACGTCTGGAGGCCGGTGATGGGAATTTAAAAAGCATGCAGTGAGTGTGGCCAACGAGTAGGGGACATGATGTGAAGGGAGGGATGAGCTGTACTTTATCCACATGAACCTCCCAATAATTAGCCCAGGCTCTGGGAATATGAGACCCAATGAGAAGCGGTAATGGACTCTGACGTCAGAGACGCACTCTGCAAACGCTCCCCGTATCGATTGCTAATTAAAGCTGACATCCACCTCAATAAACAATATCAGAGCTGTCACAACAAGACAGGAGGGCTTTGATAAGAACTACATCGCAACTACACGGGGGACCCACCGGGAGGAAGGGCTCACTGAATCCCGGGAAGGAAAGGCTATGCAGGCGGATAGGTTAGGCCAGAGGCTCCCGGACTTTTTGTTCACGGGAGGACCTGCAAATAGCTGAATATTTAGACCAATTAGGCAAAAAAAAAAAAAAAAAAAAAAACCCAAAAGAAAAAACACACATTTTATCCAAGATAACGACTTAGCTATTTTTATAAGCCTTTTTAAAAATCTTTTTTGTGTATTCTTTTTTTTTGTGTATATTTGGATATTGGCACATTTCTTAAGGAGGTGGCAGAGAAAAGTGAAAGCTGATTTTTTTTTTCTTTTTTTTTTTTTTTTAAATGGAAATTTTAACTGATAATATATTGTTGGAATAAAATATTCCCCCCAGGGATGCCTGCGACCCTCTGTGGGCTGTGCGACCCTTCCTCGTCCCTGAGCCCCACTTTGGGAACCACTGAGTTGAGATAACCCCCTCCCCTCCCCTCCCCTCCCCTCCCATGTTAGTTATGGATCATGATTTAAATACATTAAACCTTTACAATCAGACAGGTTCACGTGCAGGGCGTAAAACAAATAGGGTGACTGTTGAAATATGGCTGTGTTTGAGGGGGAGCTGAGACATTGCTGAAGGCACAAAGCGAGAGTGAAACTATAATATTTTACTGTTACAAGGCGAAAGCTTCAGTTACGAGCAACGCTGTGTTATGAGCAAAATATATGACCAAATAAAGGGAGGCTTCAACTACTATAGAGACTGGGACAATACAAGAGAAGAGAATAAAATAGAAAAAAAAAAAAAAAAGTAGCATACTCATATGTGCATTACAGGCACTCGCAACATTTCCTGTCAGGAAACCAAATTGGAAAGCTCCTCCACTTGTGCAACCCCATGCACTCAATATGTGACTCGCCTAAATCCTATCTGCTCATTAGGTTTTCAAATAATTAATTCGACTTTATTTATCCCAAGTCTGGCGCTGTCATAATGTTAATCAGAGTTGAAATTTCGCACCCCACTCACTCCCTGACCCTTGGCACCCGGATTGGCATGTTGTAATAACCTGAATCTCTCAACAGAAGCTGCGATAATTGTTACCCTATTAGCATGCAAATTGTTTAATTAATATTATTATGAGGAAGTATATAATCCGCTCGTCACTTGACCCCCAAGCCCAAATAACAACCCTCTGTATTTCAATGTGTAGCCCTACATTTTAATGAACTCCTCAGAAATGATCTCGCCTATTTATCCATCTTCCTTTTTAGCAGTCTCGTCTTTGAAGCACCCCCCCACACACACACACACACACCCTCACCCCACCCCTCCTCTCTCTGTATTTTAACTTTAATTCTAACGCACACGCGGACAAGATCTTATGAATAATTCCTCCCCATTCATTTTCTTTTTTGAACATCTAAAATTCAATAATTGCTTTTCGTCGATTCCAAGCATATATATAAGGTTGTCCCCAACTCGGGCGCGCACACGCAGGAGCTCAATGAAAAGCAGCCCTTGACACAGTCTCCAGAGACATTGCATTTAAATCCGTTTTTCTACAAGCGGGTGACATTGTCAGATTCTAGCTTTAATTAACCCGATAATAAGGCGAACAAGGCCAGCATTCAGTCGCTCTGTTGCCCTGCCTTGTTACCTTTTTATAACTGGCCCTTTTGGCAGCTGTTCAGAGGGGAAAGTGATAATAAATATATATATATATCTGTATGTATATATTTTCCCCTCATTGACAGTTCTGTGTCCAGTTTTTGGTTGCAGCAGGACACATGGTCTTTATTGCATTTATGAATTGTTGGTGTGAATCAATAAGAGCACAGGGCCTATAGACTAATTGATTAACTTTCCATCCAAAGAGAGAAATTCCAGGGCCAATAAATGGTGGAGGAGGCTGACAGATACACACCTCAACACATCTCACTGTTTTCCCCTTTACAAAAATACGTGCATCTTTTTCCATCACTTACAGAGAAAGTAAAGGAGCCCAACGTGTAAATGTGTGGGATTTCCAAACAGTTTTGTGTTAAAACAACTTGCCCTTTCCAAGATAGTGAAATATTAATACTTTATTACTTTGACATTTCACTGAATGTGACTATTTTCCACCACAAGGTTTAGTCAGATGTGACCCATCACCTCAAGCACAGTTTATAAGATAAACCAGCCTGTTCTCCCAGTAGAGATGCATGTAAATTCATTCTAAAGAATGACTGTATGACCAGTAACACACAATGAAGCCTGGAGAGTGTATCGTATCAGTGATAAGATGATGTTTATCTCTTAGAGCCACACACATTACTGTTGTTTTCTCCGCTGCTGCCTCATGTTAAATGCTTGTGTTAGTGTTGCACTAATCACTCCCACGAAGTTGACTGCTATAAGTCCACTACTGACCACAGTGATGAATGAGGCAGGGGCACTGATGGAGGACATGGGAAAGCCCCACCCCCACCCACTACAGCACAAACTCTCCACACACACTAATTCATATACTTGTACTCTAAGAGGTGCAAACATACAACAACTGTTACCTGCAAGCCCCTTTCTCTTGACTTTTGACATGCATCAAAGTTATGTTTTGCAGCTAAACAAGAAGAAATCAAGCACTTCCACTTGGACTTTATCTTCTCCCTTCCTAAATGAGTCTCTCTAATGCCAACTTTTTGTGTTGTTTGTCTGTTTGGCTGAGTCTCATAAGAGGATTTTGCAGCTGCATACTCACCTGACTCCAGATAACCAGATAAGTGAAATTCATATCATGAGTGCCAACATAATACGGGTGTTGAAATGATACACCCCACCCCACCCAACAACAACCCCCCCCCCCCCCCCCCCAAAAAAAAGACACAGGGCCTTATCAACATGCCCATCCAACACTGATGCCCACTTTAGCAGCACAGAATCAAATTCATTTTTAATTAGGCAGGCAAATTAATAGGCAGCAGTTTAGGAGTTTAATTACTCAATTAACTTCACGCACGTTAATTTTTAACTATCTAAATTAGGTTGCACATTATTCGATTTGATGATAATTATAGAATTAAATCTAAATTAATTGTTTTGGATGATTTGGATGAACTAGATGCAATTCCAATTAAACAGTAGAAAAAAAAAGAAGGTGGTTGCCATTTTAAGCTCGCAAATCCTTTGATTCGATTTTAAGCAAGAAAACTCTGCCTGGAAATTTTCCTCTGATCCTACAAATTCTCTCTCCCTCTAATCCCACAATTAAAAGTTTCCTCCCATCTAATTATCTGTAATTGTGCCGCTGTCAAAGTAGAATGGAGAAGTGAAAGCGATTGATTTGGACTTTTAATTCAGTTCATTTCTGATAGAAGAGAAAGTAATTCCCTTCAAATTACCTCATTCAATCCTGACACCCTAATGCCCTTCAAAATCTTTTTTTTTTTTACTCCCCAGCATTTATATATTAAAAATGAAGCTAGAATGACTAGTGCCTCCTAATAATAATAACCAAACTTCCATTAGAATAATAATTTCATTTCAATTAAAACTGACTTATCACCTTTGCTAAAACGTGCTTAATATGCCGAAAATTATCAATGCTTGAAGGAGCCCAAACTGGGGAGTCTAATTGTAATCAGCAAATCAGAGGTGCTTGTCGCTGCCGTGCCTTTGCAGAGAGGCAGTCTCGGAAATAGAACTAATTTACTCAACTCCCCCGGGAAATCCGCTCAACAGATTAACATTTTCAAAATATAGTAATGATATAATTTGAGAAATGGTGACGCCAATTTGTGAGGAGCCTTTGTGCAGAATAATTTGCATTTTTTTTTCCTCCCTTCGCCACCGCCTGCATTTTGCCCCCGTTAATTACAGCTCCGCAGATGAAGGGTGTGCTGTTTGACTCAGTGCTTATTATTCAACTTCAATCTAATAATTCAACTCTACAGGAATATATGAAGAAGAAGAAAAAAAGTGTTAGCCTATCCAAATTTTAAGCCATCCTCCATATAATCCCAAATGGGTTTGGATGGGTGAAAGTGTGAATAGGTGCATACATAGTCTGCCTGTCACTGTGGGTGTCTTGTTATTGCAGCTCATATAGCTTCTGTGCATGACTCTGTCTGTATATGTGTTCAGGAGAAATTATAGGTTTGTTTGGTTTTAAAGCTCCATGGACATCATCAAACTCCCTGCAACAACATCACAGCTTCCTCTGAGATAATAAATAAACTCCCCTGCCCTTCAGGTCACCTTCTACCTACATATTATAAAGGTGTATTAAACTGTGTGATGAATATACAATAAAGAGTTTCGTAAGAGTTGCATACCTAAACTTTGGAGACTCATCCAAGTCCATAAAGTTGAAACTAGGCCTGAGAAATGTAGCTATTTATTATCAGCAGACACTAACTAGTTGCTAGGCTTGTGTGGTTTATTTTGGCTGCAGCCAAATTGGAAGTGATGGCAGGATAGCCAGCAAGTCCCTCGCTGTTTCCTCACATTGCAAAGAGCTGGTAGAGAGAAAGAGAGAGTGGTGACTGTGCTCTGCAGCCCGGCCATCTGCCGCTGTACCAAAAAACAACAACAAAAAAAAGAAAGAAAACCCCAGAGATATTTACTGTAGCACTACACTGCAGCAAAGCGAGACACCATTTTCTGACACAAAAAGACACACTGGAGCTCATAGTGGAC